GCTTAACGACTGAGCCACCCAGGCGCCCCGAGAGGGAGAATCTTAAGGAGATTCCACATCCAGCCCAGTGTGGAGCCTGACTCAGGGCTCGATCTCATGACCCTAAGATCATGACTGGAGCTGAAATCAAGAGTTGGATGCTTAAGAGACTGAACCACCCAGGCGCCCCCTGATTTTATTTTTTAAATCATATCAAAGAAAGCACGTAATTTGAACACAGAATATTGTTAATTTTGTGGGCTTGAATTAAAAAATAGGTTTGGGCTTGGTAAAGTTGTAGGTACTCGTGTGTGTGTGTGTGTGTGTGTGGTAAAATACACAAAATAGAAAAATTTATTAACCATTTTTAAGTATACAGTTCTGTGGCATTTGGTACATTCATATTGTGCAACCATCACCACCATCCATCTCCAGAGCTTTTTCCTCTTCCCCACCTGGAACCCCAACCTAGTAAACACTAACTCCCCGTTCCCACTTGCCCTTTTTCTGCCTCTACGAATTTGACTGCTCTAAGAACGATATAAGTGGAATCATACAATATTTGTCCTTTTGTGACCTCCTTATTTCACTAGCATAATGTTCCCAAGGTTTGTCCATGTTGTAGCATACGTCAGAATTTCCTTCCTTTTTAAGGCTGAATAATATTCCGTTGTATGTATAGACCACATTTTGCTTATTCATTCATCTACTGGTGGACACTTGGGTTGTTTCCACCTTTTGACTCTTGTGAAAAGTGTCGCTGTGAACATAGCTGTACAAATATCTGTTCTAGTCCCTGCTTTCAATTCCTTGGGGTGTATACCCAGAAGCTGTTGGATCATATGGAAATTCTCTGTTTTGTCAACTGCCAGACTGTTCGTCACGCAGCCGCACCATTTTACATTCCCACCAGTGGTGCACGAGGGTTCCAGTTTCTCCCCATCCTCGCCAACACTTGCAGTTTTCTGTTTTGTTGATAGTAGCCATCCTAATGTGTGTGAGGTGGTATCTCATTGTGCTTTTGACTTGCATTTCCCTAATGACGAGTGATGTTAAGCATACTTTCATGGACTTATTGGCCAGTTGTATGTCTTATTTGGAGAAATGTCTATTCCAGTCCTTTACCCATTTTGTAATTGGGTTGTTTGTTTTTTGTTGTTGAATTATAAGAGTTCTTTATATATTCTGGATATTAATCCTGTATCAGATAAGTGATTTGCAATTATTTTCTTCTATTCTGTGGGTTGCCTTTTTGCAGCCACTCTTAAGACCTAAACTTAATGAAATCTCTGTGAAGAAAAATGATTTGATTTGAACATATAAGTATGAAACAGTTAAATCATACAAATCTATTTTTTTCTCTCAACAACTATCCTCTTTAAATAGTTATTTAATAAAAAGTACCTGGCACCAAGGCAGTAGTGATGAAAGCAGGAAAGAAAAGTGTCTGCTGAGTTTTTAATGTAACGGTAGGATCATTTACTATAAACTTTGTTTTTGTTTTATGCAAATTAACAATGCAGCTATGTCCTCAGAATTTTATTTCATGTTAATGAAATAAATGAAATAGTTAAAAGTGGAATCTTCAGACCTAAATGTGAGACCTGAAACCATAAAAATCCTGGAGAGCACAGGCAATATCCTCTTTGACAGAGGCTGTGGCAGCTTCTTACTAGCTATGTCTCCTGAGGCAAGGGATATAAAAGCAAAAATAAACTATTGGGACTACATCAAAATAAAAAGCTTCTGCACAGCAATGGAAATAATCAACAAAATAAAAGGCAACCTACTGAGTGGGAGAAGAGATTTGCAAATAACATATCTGATAAAAGGTTAGTATCCAAAATATAAAAAGAACTTATCAAACAACACGCCCCAAAAAGAGTAATCCAATTAAAAAACAGGCAGAAGACATGGATAGACATTTTTCCAAAGAATACATTCAGATGGCCAACAGACACATGAAAAGATGCGCGTCATCACTCATCACCAGGGAAATACAAATCAAAACTGCAATGATATATCACCTCACACCTGTCAGAATGGCTAAAATCAACAACACAAGAAATAACAGGTGTTGGCAAGGATGTGGAGAAAGGGGAACCCTTTTGCACTATTGGTGGGAATGGAAACTGGTGCAGCCACTCTGGAGAACAGTATGGAGGTGCCTCAAAAAGTTAGAAATAGACTACCCTATGATCCAGTAATCACACCACTAGGGATTTACCCAAAGACCACAAAAATACTAATTCAAAGACATACTTACACCCCAGTGTTTGTAGCAGCATTATCTACACTAGCCAAAGTATGGAAACAACCGAAGTATCCATCAACTGATGAATGGATAAAGAAGATGTGGTATAATCTACAATGGAGTATATTCAGCCATAAAAAGAATGAAATGTTTCCTACCAAGACATGGATTGAGCTAAAGAGTATAATGCTAAACAAAATAAGAGAAAGACAAATACATGATTTCACTCATATGTGAAATTTAAGAAACAAAACAAATGAGCAAAGAGAAAATAAAAGAGAGAGAGAGAGGCAAGCCAAGAAACAGACTCTTAACTATAGAGAACAAACTGAGGGTTACCAGAGGGGAGGTGGGTGGGGGGATGGATGAAATGGGTGATGAGCACCAGGTGATGTAAGGAAGTGTTGAATCACTATATTGTACACCTGAAACTAATATTACACTGTATGTTAACTAACTGGAATTTAAATAAAAACTTAAAAGAAATACATTCTGAAAATGAGATGAAAAAAATCGTAGTCTTCTAGAACAGTGCTGTTCAATAAAAATATAATGTGATAATGATGTACTTAACTGTATGTTGGCTAATTGAATTTAAATAAAAATTTTTAAAAAAATAAAAATATAATGTGATCCACGAATCTGAGCCCCATATGTATTCTTAAATTTTCTGGTAGCCACATTTTAAAAGTAAAAGAATGGGGGAATGAATTTTTATGACATTATATCAAAAATATCACTTCAACATGTAACCAACATAAAAATAATTAATGAGCTATTTTACATCTGTCTTTCACAGTATGTCTCTGAAATCCCGTGTGTTTTGCACTTAAGCTCATCTCATTTCAGACTGGTTCCATTGCAAGTGCTCAGTAGCCTCTCGGGCTCGTGGTTCCTGGTTTAGACACTACAGCTCTACGCTGTGAGCTCGGGTATTCCCCGGGTCTCAGTACCTAGAACATATGAGACACCCATTCAGTGTTTGTTGAAAAAAGTAAAAGTTTTTTTTCCCCCATTTAACACTTTATGTAATAATATGTAAATATATTTTTCTTTGTAGTACAATAAATTTAAATGCCGCATCCTGAATGAGAAAATTAACACTCCAACTACGACAGTTTACAGGTAACGTGTGTGTAAATTTTAAGGCCTGCTCTGTGGTAAACTTGAAAGTGTTAGAAGTAGAAGCAGTTGGTCTTTGGGTGGGTGGTGTATTTATAAATTTGCGTAGTTGATATACTACTTTAGTTTGGGACTCTGAAATGTTATCAGCAAAGGGAACTTACTCTCCTCTTCATTTGTATTTATCAGGCTGGTGCTAAAACCCGAATTTTTGTTTTCCAGACATTAGCTGTGACAGCATCTTTCCCCGTGTGGGTGAGACTGTTTGCCCAGTGCCTTACGTTTTAGTGGGGGCTGTTAGGGAAGAGAATTTTATTCTGTCCTCCCACGTTCTTATTGATGTAGCAGCGGGAGTTGCTATATGTCATCTGCCTCCTACAGTGATTTTCTGCCTCTTACTATACTCCCCATTTCCTGGAGTCCAGGAGCATTAACTTTCATGCATTAGCCAGATATTCATCATGAAACACAATGAAAGACAACCTTGGGGAACCAAAGGCAAATCGAATGGTAGGAAGAGGCAAGTGAAGTCAGTACCACCATGACTTAGTTCTGTTCCTTTAACATTTGAGCCCCTTTTTTTTCGTGCATCTTTTAAGCTGCCTGACGGGTAATTGCTGTTCCTCATGTCTGTGTGTTCTGGCTGCGTCTGTGACCTTCATGGTCCCATCTTAGAAGATCTGCTGTCTGTGTATTTGAAATTGCAAATACTCTCCACAAGGGCATTTACTTTCCACAGTCAAGTACTTATGGTTCTGGGGTTTAATGGTGCTGTAAGTAAAGTCATCTCCCCTCTAAGCAAAGCTATGCACAGGTTATGTCTTACATTACAATATGAACTCGTTGCCCTTTGACATTGAAGCGGGGTAGATACTGTGCTTACCTTATTTTTGCCATTCTCCAATGACCAGATAAGATTTTATTATTCATTACCTGTAATTCAAATAATTGTTAGTATATGCATTTTAAAGCTTAAAAATACATGAATAAATAAAAAAGATATGCTGTTTTAAAATTCTGGCTTCTAATACTTGAGCCTTTGTGGTTATTTTTTTTTTCTTAAGATTTTATTTATTTATTTGACAGAGGAAGACACAGGTCAACACTGATGCTTCTTATTCTGTCAGTTTAATTTTTGGAAAATGAATTGCTTTTCGTTCTATAGGGTTCAAAGATCAGAGTATTGAAGTCTTTTGTGCTAATTAGGCATTCCTTCCACTCCTCTGAGCATTGATTTACCGCTTCCATCTTGGACAGAGAACAATAAAGCCTGGTCATTTGAAGAAATGATATTTTCATCTTTTTTTTTTT